TTTCATTCACACGTGTTCTTCTGAGTTCTTCTTTGCTGCTGATAATTTATGCAAAACTTTGAAATTGAAAATACATACATCATAGGTTACAAATATGTACCTCAGAGTAGTTTTGTGATATATACAACATAAAATGAATAAAATACGCTTTGAACATGAAATAAGACATAGAAAAACATAAATGTGTCCAAAATAAACTGTATATCCAGCTGTTCTACAATCTCTCTATATAAAAAAATAAAATAAATATACTTATTTATATAAAAATATCCCCAAATATACTTTGTTAATCTTTAAATTGTTTCAACTCGATTATATGAGTTTGGAGATCATTTGACACACAAATCAAAATTGCGATCAAAATTAAATTAATTGCAAAGCCTTTTGTAGCTGTTAACTTGAAAACTACAGCTTCATGACATCACAAGGTGGAACAGAGCATTTTGAACTTTGGAGATGTAAACAGACCAATAATGGAAGATTATTCAAACATGTGTGAATGAAACAACACACAACTCCAGGTCTGTTTTTGAGGAGGTAACAACATTGTAACATGGCTTAAAGCTCACAAGAATGAAGTTCGGTGTAACACAGGACCTTTAATGGCTGTTACTGAAACTGGGTTGGTGAATTGGTTACTGTTTACCTAAGTCATGGGATCTACATTAGTTAATCTGCTTGTCCCCATGGAAATGTGAATGATTTGCAGGGAATTTTCCATAGTAGTGTGTTAAAATTATTTATCTCGCATGTGCTTCATTGTTTATTTATTTATTTATTTTTTTTACTTTGAGATCTCACCTGTATCCTGGCCTGATGTGTCACTTGCACGTGTACATGATGCCATACTTTGGAACATTCAAGGCACAGGTACATAGTTGAAAATTTTAACAAACCAACATTTAAAATACATGTTGAGTCCAATGTAGGGGAATGACTTAAATTAATTTAAGGATAGTAAATTACACCTTAATTTAACTATTCCCTGGTTTACCTTGCTATTCTTCACCCTATATGTCCTGCATACACATTCCCACCAAAAGCCTGTAGCAGCAAAAAACAGTCTGTACTCTCATAGTGTTCAAACGCCTCTACATTCTGTACAACAACCCCTGATTCCCCCACCACACGCCACAATGGCCCCCACCGATCTCATTTGTCAAACCAGGAGCGTAACATTTCCTCTAAGAGTTTGTGTAGGAAACCACTAGACAGCTGTTAAGACCCACTATCGGTGCCAGGACTCCACTTTCAGCACAAATTTTAATCAACGCCCAGCAAATTTCTCCCGCAAAAGAGGCTGCTGTCCAAGCCCCCCGAATCCCCCTGAATCCCCCCGAATCTTGATTTCATTGTGCTCCTCTCCTCCTCCCACCTCCACGCTCCAATCCACTACAATTATGTTACCTCCCATTTCTCCTGATCACTTTACAGCGAACGGCACCTGCGCTAATTGTAACGCTGATGATGATGATGCTGGGTATGTGGTGAGAGCTTAAAGGAGTTGGAGAGCAGAGAGAAAAGAGGAGTGGAGGAGAGGAGGTAGGACAGATAAACATCCAGCCCCGGGCGCTTTGTGGGGAGAGTGGCTCAGTCTAGCAGATGGCCATCAGATTATACGAGGAGGGAGATATGCAGGTTTGGAGTTTACATGGGCGGGTGGGGAAATGAGTCTGAGAGGGGAGGGAGAGGAGAGAGGGGTGTGAAGGTAGAAGGGGATAGGAATAGAGAAAAGGGAACATTTTAGGGACCTGTTGCAAATAAATGTTGTCATAAGAGGTGTATTCTTCTACTTAAAGAAAATGTAGTTAAAGGTGCACTATGTAACTTTTTGGATGGGCGTCGGTCACCTGCTGTCATTGCTCTGTCTGGTGTGTTCGACAGTGTGACAATTAACAGCTCTACCTTACATGAATTAAATTACAGGTGGATTTATAGCTTAAAAATCCCTTGAGAAACAGACATTCTGACAGTGAAAAGTGTTGCCTCTCCACAGATCTGACTTGAAACCTGGTCTGGTTTGGTCTCCATGATGATAAAAAGGTTTAATGCCATACTGTGAAACAATCCAGACAAAGTAATAACATCTCCATGGAGAAAAGCATTTGATGGACCCTCCAACAGAAAAGTTATCCAATGCACCTTTAACTTTGGCTTAAATGACCATAAACCTGCTCTCTTTGTGCCAGTCCCAAGTCTGTATAAATGGAGACAAGGTAAAATGCATGTATGTATATCTCTACAAAATATTATTGTAGCAAATCTGGAATAGAAAGACAAAGTTACTTTATATAATACACATATACATATTTATAAATATTGTATTATTTTGATCTTAAAAAGTACATTTTGACCCATTTTGACCCTTATATAATGATGAATTTTGCACAGTAAGAATTGTAACGGATATGTAATATGTTATATAAAGGCATAAAGGTTTAGTCACCTGGATGTCTTTTTGAAACTGACAAAACAAAACAGTAAAGGTTCAGATAAAACCTTTTCCACTATGGACCATTCCAGGATGAATGAGGGATTACATTGATAAGTTAAATAGGTATATAATTGCACAACTGAAGATTTCCAATGCATTTCTTTAACATCATTATTATTTTTCTTATTAACCTTTTTTTCGTCTATGTATTATTTGTTTTGTGTTTGTAACCCATCACAAAACATGCCTATAATTTGTGAGGCAAAATAACAATCACAATAGCATCATAGATATTTGTGTCACATTCTCCTCTGTATTAGACCCATTTGCGCTCCCCCTGCACAGTTGAGTTATATATGTGTGCATCTCCCATTGGTGCAAGGACAGCAGGGACAGTGGAGCACATGAGAGAGTGCACTTGTGTGTGAGGGCGCCCTGAATCGCACCTCCTGCCCTCGTAATGAATGAGCTGCCAGCCCTCCCCGCTGTGGCCACCCAGCTCGGACCACATATTATAGAGCCACCTATCTGAAATGGAGCGCATATTATATAGCAGCCTATTTGCCGGGATGATGAGTCCTGGACACCTCCCATTATTTATTAGGACGGGCCGGAGCGCTTCGTGAGAGCAGACGTACAATGGCTTCAGTAACTGGATGAGGAATGAGCAGCACGGGGAGAAGTGGGAGAAATGGTACAAAAGTTCAACCCACTTGAAGATATCTAATAATAAACACTAAACATAGAGTAGTGTATACACAAATAATATGGCAGTACTTTTGGTTCAATGCACAGGTTTCAAGTGAGGCTAATAAACTATGTTAGGTAAGATTTGTAAATGCATTTATGATTATATGTCAATGATCACATGCAACCAAAATATTTAATTTATTTCAGGCTATACTGAAAATGCAGTTACGGTAATTTGTAATGAGTAGCCACAGAAGTTAGTGAGACACCCAGATGATCAAAAAAAATAAAAAATAAAAAATCAAGTATTGAAACTCATTTGAAGTATTGATACTGAAAAGCACTTAAATGGGACAAAATTTAATCTTTCTCGAGAATGGTTGTGATCTACCAAAACAAAAAGCCCAGGGTAATATTAAAGAAATTATTTTGGGCTGTGGTGTTTTTGGTGATAAGTGTTTTTATTATCATTCTTGTATTGAAATTGGTATGGAAAATCAGGTATCAGAAGTACGACATTGTGTATGACAACACAATCCACAGTACAGCTGCCAGAGAACAATAATTTGCAGTACCATTATTTGAAAAGTTCATCAAAACAACAATAGAATCTGCAGATTTATTAAACATTTTTAGGATGTAAAAGAAATTGATAATAGTGTTCTAATAGGAGCTTGCCTGCTTTTAGGGGTGGTGCTAAAGACAAATGATGTAGTTTGCCTGGAGTGGACTGGGCTTTCCCGTCCCATAATGACCTCTGAGGGAGCTGAAGGAGGGCAGCTGGTCCCACGGTGAGGGAGGGGCAGGGCCGCTGTGAGCTGTGCATCATATACTGTACACATATGCACTCTACAGATTCATTCTTCCAGGAGACTTACTTTATGAAGCACATGTCCAACCACCACCAGTCTCCACAGAGGACTGACTCTCCCAGCAGCCTCCCTGTCCGAATCTCCCTCATATGATCCAGAGTACCACCCAGGACGCAGCTCACTCAACAGACCCTGCACCCACAGATATCTACATCAGGCACAAAGAGTACTAAAGCTGCATAAACATGATAAATGAAAGAGGTTTGAAAAACAAAGAGAAGTATTTTACAGATCTGATGTTGCAGCTATCAGAGAGAGGTTGAATGTTGTTATGCATCAGATTTCTAAAGCACTTAGCATAAACTGCTGGATGGGTTCATTTTAGACATGCCTACTTCAGACTAGTCACAAGATCCTCATAGTGGAATGAGACTGAATGCACCCAACAACATCAATTCTTTTTATGTCATAAATTGCAAATCTATCTAAAATTCAAGTTAGTCATTTGAAATCTTGTCCAACCAGGCAGAACCATAGGTAGTTTTGTAAATGAAGACAGCAGCTGGTCTGACTTGGTCTGAAGGAGACATCACTTTCCTCCCTTGAAATGTTTTAAATGTTTTACACATTATTTGCCTATTTTAAAAAAAAATAATAATCCTGGGTATAATTTCTGGGTGTAATTAGAAGCACTAGTACTATTTACTGTAGTGTTACTGTAATACTTACCATAGATTTACTGTTTTTTTTACAGTATCATATGCTTCATGCACTTTCCATACATTTGAAATGCAGCTGAACGTATTTTTTACAGTAGTTTAATGTAACAACTATTGGCCCGATTCCCACTCTGATTGTATTGCCTCTCCAGAGATCTGACCTGTGACTTGGTCTGGTAGTGCCACTTTCTTATGGGGGCTGGAGAGGACAATATTTTCAGTATTATTTCGTACTGCTAATCACGTCTTAGGCCAGAACCTGGATAAATACATCCACAGCTGGGCAACATTTCAGCTGCTGATGCTGAGCAGTGACTGGCTTCCATCACATAAAACAAGACAATGTAACATTTGTTTTTATTAAAACAGTGGTACCCTTTAACCCAATGGTTAACAAATAGGCAGTTGTTGATATAGAATGGAGCAGATTCTTCATGCTCCCATTATCACCATACAGTATGTAGTATATGTACACAACACATCTCAGAACAGTCAGGTATAAATTATTAAGTGAAAAATCTTCGTTTCAAGACAATGATTAGGTGTTTTGTGGCACATGCGGAAGCAGCTTTCCTTTATCACTGTGAGCTGTTTGTCCCACAGCGCACACACATTCACTTCACAACTGTTACTTTACGTGGCGTTTTTACTCCTTCACTCAGACGCTTCAGTTACAGTAACTGAACTGTATAAAGATGCAAGTCTATTCCAGTGCAAACTCTGCAATTTGGTTAGCTAAGGCCCTGGCTTCCCTTTTGAGCTTCAACAGTCTCATATTGTCCTCCATGACAGGAATGTTTGTGTCAGTTTCCAAACTCTCTAGTTGCTCTGTCCACAGCGGCCCTTCAGTCCTTGAGTCCTACACCGGTGGTGTATGAGGAGAGTGGGATGGCACAGCCGTTTGAGAGAGAGGGGTCAGACCAGTGACCCGTCCTTGGCTCATAGTTAATGCTAAAGAGTTCTGGGGTGTAGATGCAGCTCATCCACTGATTCAAATGGACCCACCAATATCTGTCTCCCTTGTGGTCCTACACATTTTGAGAGAGAAATCTGACTTTCTTTCCTGATACAAGCCAACTCCTGAGGTCCTTGATTGAGGGAAGCTTCATTTTGTCTTTGTTTTTACTGTAAACATTCAAAAAGATGCCAAAGAGCACCAAAAGGCCACCCCAAATGTATCTGAAAAAAGAGAGAAAAAACTGTTTAAAGTAATGAAGACATTTTAGAGCTTTTTACTATTATAAATTGAGCCACAACATTTATCAGTAAAGTTAGAATCATTGTAAGTTATGTAGTTGAAAAACCAAACACAATTTAAAAAAGTATTTTGAAACTTATTTTTAGAGTAGCCATCAGCTGGAGGGAGTGATCTAGGATATACTAGTAGTTGTGCATACTTCTATGTAATACTTGTTTGTCTTGGGTAATAAATTTGTATTTTAGGGGTGTCTACAGTTTTGGAGACCAGAGTCAAAATGAGGAAAACCAAGAAGCTATGAGTCCAAGGTCCCAACATGGACTGAGGACATTAAAACAAATCCAGATTCAACAGTGGTCAGGGGTGACACTGTGGTCTTGTTAAAACCAAAACTAAAGTGATACAAGTCAAAAGGTGAGGATACTTACTGAAAAGTGAAAGGTTTTGTGAAGAACATGAAGGAGAGTATAATAGTCATGGCCTTCCGTCCAGTGGTCACTGCAAACAAGGAAACACATTTGAGTTTCAACAAAAGTATATTGCCCTGTGGCTCATTTTAAGTTTATATCCCACTCAATGAATACAAATGATGCAAACTTTTAAGAATTGTTCAGACCTGTCACTGCAACCAAGGCGCCGAAAAGTTTGATCAAGGCCAACACGAAGGAGATGCCGAAGTAACCCGTAAGAGAGAACAGGAATGCATAACCGTATGTTTTTACAGGGTGCTGCAGAGAAAATAAAAAATATATGAATAAGGCAGTTGTACATTAGAAAGCAGTAGGTGAGAGAAACAGAGATATTTATTCACACATTTGCATGAGAACAAGCCTATGTCTCACCTCGGAGCAAAAGGCCACAGCCGGCCCCAGCCCGCCCACACAGAGCAGGCCTACGAGGATGTACACAAAGCCAATGGAGTATGAATAAAGCACCTGTAAACAAACATCTGTGAGCTGACAGAAATACTTTATTTATGCATGTCGTTATGTGTTATTTTCTGATCTATGTTATAATGCACTCATCAAAAAAATTCCTGAAGTTGTGTATTGTTTCATTCATTTCAGACCTGGAATTGCTAATCTCTACTAAACTAAAGATAAAAAGGTTTCTCTCAACATGACAAGTTCAACTTCATGATATCACCAGGTGCATTTTCAACTTTGGAGATGCAGACAGGCTAATAATGCATAACTACTCAAACATGTGGGAATGAAACAAAATACAGTTTCAGGTATGTTTTAGGGGTAGCAAAACTCTAACATGGATTAAATAGCACAAGAGTCAATTTTACATCATATAAAACCTTTAAACTACATACCATTTCAGAGTTGGAGCCATTATGCAGTTTCATTGCCTTTTCCTGCACATTTCCAATAGCAGCGTCAGCACACAAGGCCAACGAAATGAGGATGACACCTGGTCAGCAAAGAAAACAAGAAACAAATTATTTGATGAGCGATTATGATGAACATACTTTAGGTTATAAATTTCATAAAACAGATTATGTTAACTTATGAATACACCTTTTGCACACTGCAGTATGAAATGCCAATAAGATGTATAAAAAAAGACTTATCAACCAAATGTGACAGTTTTGAAATGGTGATATTTATGTAAAACCAATTCCTTTAGACTATCCCAGACAGCTGTTTTTCCATCACCACAGTTTGTTAGAATAATTGAAGGCCCAAGTGGGTGAAGCCAACAGTTTAAACTAAACCATACTTCTCATTATTCAAAATTTACCCAATTCTGAATAAAGGAAAGTATAGTTCAGTTTGCAGTCTGTACAACATTAAAACCAACATTTATAACCCTAACTTTCAACCATCTTCAATGTATTTTTAAAAAGGTACAATAAGTACCAATAATGATTACTATGAGATAAGATCTGTAGTAAATTAAATGATCAAAAATATAACATTTACAAAATAATATTATTAGATCTCACCTGTAACATTGAAGTTTGGGGCTACTTTGCTGTCAGCTAATGTAAACCAGATTAGACCCAAACTCATGCATAAGGCTGCAGACACATCTGCCAAGTTATACCGTTTACCTGTTAAAAGAAAAGGTCACAAATGAGTCAACATTATTTTTAGGCTCAATCAAAATCTCAGATGCGACACATTTAATATTCTTTTAGAAAAAAGAAGGAATGTAAAGGATAAAAGCAGTTCAGACGGCTTTGTCTATGCACAGGAGACTCTTAGCCTGCAGGAAAACTTAAAAGCATATTTTTAAGGAGGCCAACCTTTTAACAACAGAGGTTGGCTTTGGACTAAAGAAAATATAAAAACGAAAAAGAAGAATTTTTCACCATCAAAACTTTGTCTGAGGCCTATGTAAAATTTCACAAATTCCAGGATAACAACACAACAGGGTGAGGGGTTTCTTCCAAAAACAGGGCTGATGGACAGGTGCCCTGAGGTTGACAGGGGACGCAGCATCAGGTTGGCCGCAGCATGCTTTGATTTCTCTACTTGCTTTTGAAGGGCCAAACATCAGATGCAACTCCACACTCCATCCATCTATAACAGTTTGCCCTTCGCATACCAAGTGAACAAGTTCTGTTTCCCAAAGTAGACCCTAAAGGGACCACAGACTCAATGTCTTTCGGAGCAGAGAGCAATGAAATTGGGGCTAAACCTGCTTGACACTGAACTTTCAGAAGACTGGGTAAAAGGATAAAAGGCAGATGGAGTGAGTACCAAGTCTGGACTCTGACAACTGTCAACAACAGTGACGAAAAAAGGCTGTGCCAGAGGTTGAAAGGTGACCAGTACATCAAAGAAATCACACGCAATGACTTTAAAGTGCACCTCACCAGATTAATAATTATAGTTAAAAAGAATTAAGTTTCATAAGACTCAAACGAGAAGGCTTTTTGACAGTGACAAAACCGCAAATATATCAGTGATATTTCTTTCATTTTTATCCCACAGTTGGTGCTTTACAAAACATATATTAAAATTATAACAGTACTAAAAAGCATGTACACTGACCTTGTATAAACACTCCTCCAATCATAACAGGTATTAGTTTACAGCACTTGAAGATGACCTGCGTGGGGTAATTCAAGTAGCCCAGAGAGGTATTTGACAGGCCCATGGTGCCCACTGTTAAAAATGCAATTATCATATAGGTCTTTCCTGGTATCCTGGAAAAGATGACACAAATGTACGGAATATTTAACCTGGAATGATTGAGACTTAATAAAATACTCAATCCAACACGCAAAAACTACATAGCATGACTTCACTCCAAAACTTTTAAAAAGGACAGTTGGATTATTGTGTCCACCATTGTTATTTTGAGACTAATGAAAATATTGTCAGAGTAAAGCATAATACCTTCTGCGTTTGTCCTGTGTCAGCTGAAGCTCAACGAGTCCAAACGTGGAGTAAAACCCAAACTGGACCAGGGTGAGGTACCAACCAAAAGGCTTGAATCCCTCTACAGAAAATATCAGCTCCTGTATAATGAAAATATAATAAAGGTCAGCACTTTAGAAGAGCCTATGTCTCAATACATTGTCATATGTATGTGCATTTAACATATGGCTATGTAAGAAATATATTTATTTTATTTAGCGATATATGTATTGACTATTGCATTTGCTTAACCAATGGCACTGCATAAAATGTGACAACGCAGCTCCCTTATGAGTTAGTGATAAAACAGGGTAGTAAATGTCTAATATTGTCAATGTCTAATTTTTTTCCTTTTGTTATTCCATTATTGTGCAGAGCAATGCACCATATAAACAGTAATTAAGTATTAAGTAATTTCAAATCATACATTTTTGGTGAAAATTGATCAAAACCTGCCCTACATATCAGCTGCTCTGGATTCTAATAAGTTGGTTGAGCTCTAATTTTAAACATCGTTCATGATCTCTTATTGTTGCTACTGTTGCTTAAATGTACCTGCAGATATCCATAGATGAGGTAAAAGAGGAAGACCCCAGCCACACAGATGAGAAACTGTGTGGGTGCGCCGAAGCTGCTCAGGTTTATGCCCAGGACCCTGAGCTCCTCCACAGACTTAATGTGAGGAGACATGACCTGCTCTGAGGACGAGGGGATGGAGATGGAGATGTGCTTCCGCGAACTGTTGTAGCCCACCAAGCCATATTTACCACTCATCCTGTCACCAGCTGAGGGGGCCTATATACACAGGCAGAAAGAATACAGATATTAACAGCAGATTCCGAATAGAGTAATAAAACTACCGGTGTTCCTCACAGTAACTTAAACTTATAAAGTCAGAAAACAGAATAAAGTAAGATATTGCTATTTATTAAAGTACTTAGAAGTAACTAGATTATTAAAGCACAGACAGTGCAGACCTACTGGTATAACAGGTTCTAAAGTGTCAGATAACAAAGTAAAGCACATCCTTTTTATATCATATTTAGACTGTGCATGCACCAAGTACCAAACAGATCTATTAATCTAATCTCAAATAATAAAAAAAAAAAACACAACCAATCTGAATAAAGCAAATTTAAAAAAAATGTCCTACATTATGAAAAATGACACTTGAGCTTTTAGCCATGTTAGAAATTTGTTACCTCATCAAAAACATTCCTGCAGTTGTGTTTTGTTTCATTCGCACGTCTGAGTAATCCTTTATTATTAGTCTGACTACATCTCCAAAGCTCCAAATGCTCTGTTCCACCTTGTGATGTCATGAAGCGGTTGTTTTCAGGTTAACAGTTCCCTTTAACCTTACGTTTAGTAGGTCTGAAATCATCCACATGATTCTAGTGAAGGTGTAGGGAGTTTAAAAACACAGTGGAGCACTTCCTGACACATGACACATGACATCAGAAGGTGGAAATATACAAAATGTGTGTGTTAAACATGTGTGGATGAAACAAACACAGCTCCGGGTATGTTTTTGATAAGGAAAACCACATTATAACATAGATCAGAAAATAGCGTCATGCAGGACCTTAAAACAAGACACATCAATGAGCACGAGTGTGTAGCCCTGTTAGCCCTGGTGCATCCTGCAGGCTGCTAACAGGCAAAAGCTACGATTAAACTACTTGGCATTACAGCACACATGACCGGACCAGTAGCGCACGCAAATCGACACATGGTGCATCTTATTTAAAAAGACGTGTCGCATTATTAGCTTTAGATTATTAATTACCCTAGCGAGCTAATAGAGCAAGCCTGTTACCTTGATCAACACTTCCGGGTTTCTTTACGGCAACGTGTCCTCGTTTTCAGAGGCAATCCAGGTGAAAATCATTCCCCCGGGTGTTGCAGCTTCATCTTGTAGGCATTTCAAAGGGTTTTCTGCATAATCCGCCCGTGACAGTATCCAAACATACAAGGGGGAGTAATTACCCGGCTAAGGCTAGCTGCTGCTGTGCAAGAAGCAGCCAACAACTTCCGCTCCGCCGCGACCTCTAACCCGCGCCCTCATTGGTCAGTGGAGATACACGCGCAAAACATCAGGTAAGAAAAATAAAAACAAAACATAAAGTCACAACTGTCATGTATGATGAACTTACACTGCTAACACTAAACCAGCATTGTGGATCTTGTAACTTGTCACTGAGAACTATTGATTTATTTGACACATAAATAAATGAAACATTTATTTAGTTATTCAGTCAAGTTTTGCTATTTGCTCTTTCTCAGTTCAATAGTATGTCATAGCAACCATCCAAATACAATATGCAGCTATTTTCTGGTTTAATTTCAGCAAATTTAACCTTTCTTATATTATAAAAAGGCTATTTGATCTTTTTCTTTATGCACAAATCTTACAAAACACTGCCATATCAATCACCATATCATTATTGCTCTGTCTTCCTATGACCTCTTGTATATAGCTGAGAGGTTATATTTTATTATATATATTTCTATTTTATTTTGACTTGTACATTTATATAATTATGCCTAATTGACACCTGTTTCTTCTTCACTATCTATTTTGCTACTTATTTAGAATTTATTATTACCATTTATATTATTACTCTTTGTTATTATATTATTTTGTGATGAGTGAGCTCCTGTGTCCAAATAATTTCCCTCGTGGATCAATAAAGTTTGTTTAAGTCTAAGTCTAAGTCTAATTCAGTTTCTTGCAAGATGGGCTATACTTTCTTTACTCGTCTAGTATACTTTCTCTTTTTTCCTAACCCGAGCCTTCATTGTAGCCTACTTTTAGTCCATAAACCCTTATCATATTATTCCCTGTCCTCCCATCTCGTGATCCTGCACCTTATATTCCAGCTTGTCCCGCTCCGACTTCCTCTCTGCCCCTCTTTTTGAGCTTGTTTTATTCCCAGATGCCCAATCTACAAGCCCTCTCTCTTTCCCTTCCTCTCCCTCTCTCTCTCCCTAGCTCTCTCTTCTCTCCCTCTCCCCAACCAGAGGTTAATACACTCCAGGATGGCATTATTTCCTCGGCTAGCCCCTCCGACAATATAAAAATTCTGAATGGACAGCTCAATCCCTCTTCCATCTCAGATTTGATTGTAATGGTATTGCCTCCTGTCCCTGGGAGGCCCCCGCTGCCTCGCCAACTCGGCCTTTATGACACTAAATGGTCAGGCTACAATTTTTCCATCTATTCAAAAAACTCTGTTAATAACTCACGGGGAATGAGATGTCTGAGCTCGCCCGGTCCACTGCAGCCAGGTCCCTCACCCCAGTACTAACAGGGTCACACAATACAGAAAAGAAGCAGGGTGGAATAAGAAATGTATAGGCTAATTAATCTCCCTGAATTTACAATAGCCTTACACCGCGATTGACGCTCCCAAAGAGGCAAAAATGTCATATTTACAACCTTGCATGCTGGAAGTCCTTAGCGTATGCAGGCACAGGTGCATACCACTTACCACTTTTCCACAGCCACCCAACTTTACAAGTGCACTCATTCGTCTTCTGTGATAGATTTATGCAACTAAAGCCATTTCCTATTCCCCATAAGATCCTATTAAATAATAAAATAATTATTTATTGATTATTCAAAAAGGTACATATGTGGCAGTAATGGGCTCGCACCACACTACTGGACTGGCAATAAATAAAGACACAGTGGAAAGGAGGGAGAAACGAGAGGGGAAAGAAATGACTGTTGAACCGGTAAAATCTGGATCCAATATGGCCTCTCGCTGCGCAGATCAGGAAGGACATTATTCAATCTTCAGGAGGCTCACAACAGGCCGTGACCTCAGAATGGTTTTCATATACGGGACAGGCTGAGAAATTAAAGTGGTCAACCAAGCCAGTGTCCAGCAGAACAACTGGACAAAAATGGACTATAGTGAGAATATTATTTCAAAATAACAGTATTATTATAAGAAATGAAACCAAAAAGTACACTATTCTGATAGTAAATGGAACCCACATTACTCGACACTATTAAGAAATATGTTAAACTGGAATAATTTATTTATTCCAGCCAACACACACCTAATATGCGTACATACATACACTATGCATTTGTTAAATTAATTATATAGGCTATAATGTAATGTATAATTTTATGTAAGTCATTGTGTGATTGTAACTGTAAAACTTAACACATAACATATTTTGTATTCTTTGTTGTCTCACCTCTCTTTATAAGTGCTGCTAATTGTTCAGGCCACAGTGTCAACTCATTAGAGCTAAATTTGTTCAGCAGACATGACCATCAGGCAGTGTGTGTCAAGGCCAAAATTAATTTCCTCTTCATTAAAGCTCATTTAAATTCTGGGTATTTCAGAGACCAGGAAATATTAGCAATAATGCACTGACTGACTGATTTTACAGCTAAAATATAATGTAGCCACATGGGCACAGGTCCCAAAATCTGGTCAGAGCTGCATCGATAGGGCATCTGGCTTAATTCCAAACACAGATTTCAATTACACCACATTTGGCAGATATTTATGTGATAACCCCAAAAGAGATCAACTTCTTTCGCAAAATAATTTTTAATTTTAATGCCAAAAAATCTCTTCTTTTTTAATCTGGTAACAAGATCTATTGAACCACATGTTAACACATTATACTATTAGTTTTTTTTGTACTTCATCACAAAATGCAGCCACCCCAGCCCTGGATTACACCACAAATCAAGTTTATCCATCCACATATTACTCTGAGAACTTCTTAATAACCCATTTGCGCTGAGCCTTATCCCCTATACTCAGAGTCGTCTTGTGTCTCCAGCCTCCTGCATGCGTCGCGAAAACAGATGCTATCTCCACAATATTACTTCTCAAAGCGCTCATATCCTCTCCCATGTTATTTTCTTTGATCTGCTCTAGACTTGCTATTCCTACGCTCTTCCTCTCCCCCCTCCTCTGGACCAGCGCAGCCTCTTCATATCGGGATACTTCCTCCAGCCCAGCGCGAGTGACCACAGCAGAGACAGACTGGGCTCATCTGGTTTGTGTCTTCAGAGGGCAGGAGGGGAGCAGGGCTGGGCAGGGTGGATTCTTCTTCGTTTACTATGCCCTTTAGAGCTATTAGTATTTCATCATTAGCAGATTTTTATGCATGTTTTCAGTAATGGAAAGAGGAAAAAGGACAGTTTTGTGGCAAAAAAAAAAAGTACTATATTACAAATACAAGCGCTAGTCTAGTGTAGGCCCACTAGAGTAAAAGTTGTATGCTGAAAAATACTACTTACTACTTACTAAATACCACTTATTACTTTTTTTTTTTTAGAGTATTTTAGATCTGCCATTTATACAAAACTTTATAAATCAAAGAGTTTAAAGCTGCACTGCATTTATCGGTATAGAAATGACAGTGGAGACAAATTGTCACAAGTGAGACTTTAGACTTGTACTCAGTAACTCCTATGATTGTTCTTAATGTGACTGAATACAATTATACATGGCTAGAATTATACTAAAGTAGTAGTTTAAGTATGTGTTTAAACATTCAATCACTGAGTATAATGTGTTACTTTCCACAATTTTATTTTTTGTTTTGCTTTTTTAATTTGGTTCAAATTTAGTGAGTACTAGCAAGTTACACACTTCTGCCATCATATCCCAGACTTAGATAAATAAAGCTGTTTTATATTTATACATAATTTAATCTCGCTCATTACGTTTTAATTGTTGTCATGGTGAACAGGACAAAGCAGCAAAAGCATAATAGCAATCTTATGCCAATTACAGGGCATAAGAGCCATGCATTTAAAGTCTGTTTATTGTATTTCTCTTTACATACAGTGACATTAGCAGAGGAGGTCCAAACAAACATGCCATACATTATTTAAAGATATATAAACAGCAATTAATGCAGGAAGTAACAGCTAATGAAAACATCTCAATTTAAGTTATGCGCTAAGCTTGAGTCTAATTTGCATTTCCCATACAGTACACATGTCTTTTGCATATATCTGCAAACAGACACTAAAGTACATGGTGTTGACACAGAGAGGACAGTATGTAGAAAGCCTAAGGTCAGATACATATGGACTTTGAGAGGGTCAGGCTGCAGAGACCAAGTAGCCACTGGATTTCTGAGGAGCAGCCAGGAGGGGGAAGCATCTCTCTTTGCAATGTGCTTTCAACAACGCAACACAAATGGAACTCAACAACTGTCCAGGGGGTTTAGAGGGATGTTAATAGTATAGTAATATGTGACAAAGGACATTTAATTTAAGCAAAACCATATAAGACATATTATATATTTATATTTTAGATCTACATTTTGCAATTTGTTATAGAGCTGTTTTTGTTAATACTAAACCTACATATATACGGTACATTATAATATTGTACGTTTCTTTGTTTTTTCAGTTCAGTTCTATCCATATTTATCTACTCTTTACCTGGGATACACTGATATGATACTGGTATTGGATATTGGTGCATTGAAAATATTGATGGATCAGATATCAGTTCCAATTCAGTCAATATCTCATTTTTCTGTGACAATTTACTGGACAATATTTTTCAGAGTTGTTCTCTTGAAATGATAATAAATGGTTACAAAATAATATAATTTTTCACCATATACTGTATTTTATTTTCAGTGTCTGCCCTTGTATCTGTTAATATCGAGGATCGGCAGATACTTAAAGCCAAAGTATCAACATCAATATAGAAACAGAAAAAGCTGGATTGGCACATCCCTACTATTGACTATTTTGTTGTTGTCTTGGAGCTACTGTAAAAATACATGCTGTTGTCCATGTCTTTAACTGCTTATTCAGAGAAAAGGGATTGAGAAACAAATTAGTATCATTTAATTAGGAGTTTAGCTGTAAGCACAAATCCTGTATTTTCTTATAACCTTTAACTACACTAATGGATTTGAGAAGCTATTACCTTTCAAGATTTCTGTTTATAATTATATGCGCTATTGTCACAGATATGAAATGTCAATCACACTTGGATTATTCCTATTCTTTGTGTGCGTGTGAATAATATT